TCTATCTATCTATCTATCTATCTATCTATCTATCTATTTGTCGCTTCCTCTCTCTCTCTCTCTCTCTCCCCCCCCTCTCTCTCTCTCTCTCCTTCCCGCCTTTTTTGAATCTCTGTCGTTCTCTTCCATGTTTTTCAACACCTACTGTGACGTCCAGAGTCTCAAATCTCTGCATAGCCTTTTCTGAAGATTTCTTACCTTGTCCTTCTGATAAGTATCTCTCAAAGCCCGACTGTGTTAGTAACGTAGCAAGCTTTTACTGATTCGCGCCTTATTGCCCTGTTACCTGCTCTGCAGACTTCCCGCCGAGAATAACAGCTACGGATAGGTTCAATGGTCCGGTGGAAGCATCATCACGGGCGGACGAAGAAACCGCCTAAGTTTTTTCACGCGACGAGAAACCAACACTATATATATGGTTCATCATGGCTCTTTTTCCAAATCGCACCCGCAAGTCCCCTGACGATGACCTTGTTACTGGTGGCGGGGTCGAAACCGGTCGGGACATCACCAGAAGGCTTACGATCCTCACTCATTTTTTAATACAAGCCTTGGTTCATTGCGCGTACTTCTTCCCTTCTACTCTTCCTCTCCGACCTTTTCTTCTTTCTTCCTTTTTGTGTCTGTATCTCGCTCTTTTGTGCATCATCCTTTGGTATGCTTCAAACTATGGATGTCTTGGTTTGCTGAGTCGAAGTGGGAGATGCTATCTTGGTCATTTACAGGGCTTGTCCCTGTGACGGGGTTTGGTTCGTTCGTGTTTCTGCACGACGACCTTTCACCTGACCGATATTTAAGAGGAGGATTTGGGTGCAGAGTTGGGGGGAGACGAAGAGGTCAGCAGTAACCACAGAGGAGTGGTCTTAGCAATAAGGGAGATGGCGCATAGGTGCAGAAAGGGAAGCGAGCTTACGTGACATGCAAAAATTCAAAATGACCGCATGTGCCTTGACACGTAGGAAATTTGAATGCCGACCACAGTAATTCCTAACTGTTTCTTGGATTTCTCCATGCGGTCGTTAACCGTCTGCGCGGAGAACCAACAAGGACAGTGGCAATCCCGAAAGATGCAGGCTTTTGGTCCCCAAAAGTGAAAAATGGACCCTGCTTTTCTTGATCAACTAAAATCGGATTCCGTGCTTTGGGGCCTACTTCAGATTTTAATCCGAAGGGTATGTGAAGCCGCTAGGTACGGATCCTAGCTTAGCACAAGCCTGCGACATGGGAATTTTTAGGTTGCTCCCGAGAACCCTTGGTGGAGCCTCGTTTGTCAAGAGTGAGCCTGGAATCCCAGCGGACAAGCCATTGGTTTAGTTGTCCCATAATGCTGTCCGATGGTGCTTGTGAAGTTCAGGAGTGCCGCCTTCTAGAGTAAGTGCAGCGATGCGCGGATTTCAAGCCTTTTGTTTCCTCAGAGAACCCTTGGCGGAGCCTCATTTTTCAAGAGGTAGCCTCGAATCCCAGCGGACAAACCATTGGTTTAGTAGTCCCGTAGTGTTGTCCCATAGTGCTTGCGAATTTGAAGATTGCCGCCTTCTAAAGTAAATGCAGCCATGTGCGGATTTCAAGCCTTTTGTTTCCTCTGACAGCTCTAGACGTACTCTATTAGTGTGTGGCGAGTCCCCATTTCTCGATTTGTGTGTGCAATCCTTGCGCAGGGGCCATGCTAATCTTCTCTGTTTCTCTGTATCGTTCCAATTTTTAAGGACGTCCCGAAGGATGCCCTAGTTCTTTGTCTCTGCGAAGGTTCCTATGTTTTCCTAAGGGAAAAAAAAAGGAAACAAGTCCGATATTGTTACACTTTCAGTTTTGAAAGGGCAAAAGAAACATGTGCGAGCACTAAAATCCGGTGCTGAGTTTGAAAAGGGCGATAAGGGTAAGAATGGCTGTGGCCGTGTCATTTTGTTGCCCTTTTCAAACTCTGCGCACCCTTTTCACACTCTGCGCACAAGTTTGTTGCCCTTTTCAAACTCCACGCCGGCAAAAATGCTTTCGTTGCCCTTTGAAACTCTGCACGCGAGTTTGTTGGCCCCGTGTGATTTTGTTGCCCTTTTCAAACTCGTTTGTGCCACAACCGAGCTTGCCCCCCACCCCTCCCCCCAAAAAAATGAAGCGAGAAATCGAGACCAGACAAACTGAGCACGGATGTGACTGTGGCTGCTACGGGTTTCCCGTAATAATACAATAATGACATAACAAAGGCCTGAAATGCTGTCGTGCTGTCGATTCATCTGTGTCGTCCTTGCGCAGGGGCCATACTAAGCTTCTCTGTATACCAACGGGCCTAGCTCAGTTGGGACACCCCTGAACTGTCGAATCCAGATGAAAAGAATAAGATCTTTCTGAATTGCCTGGGGCTGGTCAGTTTAATGATGATATCTAAAGGCCCAATTTTCACGGACTCGTAAGGCCAGATTGTTGAAGAGGTGGGATACTAGACAGATGGCAGTCACCCACAGTACTCGGCCACTCGGTTGTCCAGATGAACCCCTCTGAAGACCCCACCCACCCTTCCTCTTATCTTTTTGCCCTGACGCACCCCCAACCCCCCTGTCCTACCCTCGTGTTAACCACCCAGGACCATCACCCATTGCCATCATGGCGGGGTGACCTGACCAGACAGCGGTTGCAGGTACCGGGGCTAAGCAGAGGTGCCTACCCCCCTGCTCAGCCCCGGTTGAAGCAGACGCCGTGCAAGCCTGATTGCACGGGGACTTCGGGAGCTAGGTTTGAACATGCTACTACAGGTCTTCATGAGGGTGCACAGTGACACCCATCTAGCTTTAGTTGTATGGTGATGATAGAGAGCTGGGTATCCTCCGTTCCCTCGTATGTCCCTGGAGCCCGTTCCGGCCATGACACCCCCGACATCCCGTACTAAGGAACTGCTATGCTAGCCTCAACCCTATGCTACGTACAAGGAGGATAGCCAACTCTAGGTCATGATTTTATGGACTGAGTTTCTTTTTATCCTTATGTTACAGTGTACTATGATGTTGATGGTAGAGAGATGGGGATCCTCTGTTCCCTCGTATATCCCTGGAGCCCGTTCCGGCCCCCGCGGTAAGGTGCAGTATCTCCTGACACCCCGACATCCATACTAAGGTGCGTACTAGGAGGATAGCCCACCCTCAATCGTGAATCATGGACTGTATGTATTGACCGTGGATAATCTCCAGGCCCTGTGTTGTATGATAATCTGAGAGCAGACAATCCTTTGTTCCCTCGTATGTCCCTGGAGCCCGTTCCGGCCCAGGCCTGCTGTGAAGTGTTAGACCACTATGTCCTGACACTCCGGACATCCCGTACTAAGGAACTGCTATGCCAGCCTCAATCCTTTGGCCACGTACTAAGAGGATGACCAGCCCTAAGTTACAGTCTGGTATCGAACACAGGAACTTATGTGAATCGTGCAAGTGACCTAACCTATTGACATACACTGTGAAATAGTCTGGAGCTGTGCTCTGCTGGCCTCGAGTAAACCGGACTATGCGAACCACCCAGCAGTTTTCATGACAACCCCGTCAACCAAGAACATCAGGATACCCACCATCGCCCAGTCCCCACATACAACAACCATGGACTATCCCTTGGGTGGCGCGCAGGCAGTGTCTGTAATAACTTACCTGCGTCCAAGGGGGTGTGTGTCCAGCCGTGCGTCGTTCTAACGCCCTGCCGGTGTCCATGTGCAAGGCTGCAGAGTTTTGAACCCGCAACCTCATACCACAATGCACATTTCCAACCGGTGCTCTAACCACTGAGCTTTTGTTGCAAAAATCTGGGGCAACCTTGGGGTGAGAGGCTGCTGAGAAATCTGAGTATCTTCCAAATCCAAATAAAAACACAGAAAACATCAACAATGGTTGATTCCCACCTTCGATTCCCATCTTCTTTCCGAGAAACGGGTCTCGTGGTGCGCAAAGATGGAAGGTGATAATTAATTACCCAGGAATGTAACCGTTCATCTTTCCTTGAGCCCCTTCCTCCTGCTCCCGCTAAGACTACCACCACCCACGGGCTTTCATAACAACAGAGTCCCGGATGACCTCTGCGACTATGTTCCTCCCGATCACCGTGCCTTCGGGCTATCCACTCCCTGTTGCATGTTCCCTCGCCACCACCTACAGCTTCGGACCTCTCTCTCTCTCTCTCTCTCTCTCTCTCTCTCTCTCTCTCTCTCTCTCTCTCTCTCTCTCTCTCTCTCT